GGTCTGCAGTGGCTGGTGCAGTTGCTGCAGAGTTTGGTGTTCCTGTCTGTGCACCTATGCTCAAACACACGGTGCCGTGCTCAGATACACACACAGGTCAGGTCAGCTGGGCCCTGGAGCCATGCCCGCTCCTGAAAACTCTGATCCGGCACCAAAGAAGGGTGAATTGCAGCTTTCTCCTTGAATAACTCTTGAACCAGATGCTGCAGCGGGTTGCAGCTAGAGATATTGGATCTTTGGGATGTCAAAAAGATGTGGTACAAGTTTGGAGATGAAATTCCAAGCGGAAAAAATGTTCCAATATTGGTGTTTTGTAATGCCAGCTTGAGTCTAAGACTATGATACTGCTATCCTAGATACATGTGCCCGAAGGCTGTGTATACAAGGTTATAGCTAGTATAAAGATTTAAATCTAACCTACTAAGGAAGAGAACAGAGAAATTAGTTATAGGCCTTTATTTCTCTGTTATATTCCTCCTCCTTATTTAATACAGATTTTTTGTTCTTTTTAGGTTTGTTCCTGTCTTCAGCTGTAGTTGTTTATACTTAACTTGAAGGGGAAGCCATTGTCATGTGCTTAGTAATCGAGATTACTAAGCATGGTGGTGTTGTTGCTAGCTATCGTAGGTTGCTAAGGCTATTGAAAATCTAATATTGTTGGTTGATATTGGTGGCGAGCGAGGCCGGGGGTGTTGTGTGCCAGGAGCCAGGCACCGAGGTTCTGCCAGGCCTCGGCTTTTTCCTGAGCATTCCCTGGGCTTCTTTGGTATTTCGGGACCGAGGTCCCTAGGTCCTGGCTAAGCAGCCTTCTCCTCCATGTGGTTTACCTTGTGACGACGGCGGGAGTCGAACCCACGACCTCTATGATACCTTGGTACCAAGAGGTCCCTGATGACTTTACCATTAAGCCATCCATCGCCATGGCTACCCCCTTCAGGAGGCTATATCTCCTGCTGCAGATGCTGCAGCATACTGCAAGTTGGGAAAAGAAGTATCTTTGATAGATTGAACAAGTGGAACAAGTTTGGAGATGAAATTCTAAGCAGAAAATTTGTTATGATGTTGGTGTTTTTTATTATTTCTCTCTAAGATTAACAATTATTATTATCTAAACTTTGTAACATCTTATCTCTATAATTCTATTATCCTCCATTAACTACTATTAGTGGGCTAGAATCTAACATTTAGCTACTAGATATAGTATAATAGGACAGAAACAGGATAATTATCTAGAGGTGTTAGACCTCTGTAAGTTATATAGAAAGATCCTAACTAAGCAGCTAGTCACGTGCTATGTACGGTGCCAAGTAATCTATGGGAATCACCACACTAGCGGGCAGGGTGCATCACGTGGAAATAAATGTTCCGACATCGATAGATCTCCAGGGCTATCAAGGAACCCCACCCGGCTCTCTGCCTTCGCCTTCGTCTTCACCCGACTTCGACTTCGTCAAGACATCACGCACGCCTCATTGGGCAACATGGCGAGCAACAGGTCCGCCGTGCTGCCCGAGGGCATCTTTTCCCTCCTCGATACGTACGGCCGGCTTGACATGTCCGCACCCACTCCGCATCTCGACCGCTAACTTGGAGCCAGCGACCTCTACAAGCTCACCATGCAGTGCTGCATTCTCAGGTTCTTCCCTAGTGTTCCTGTCACCTACGGATTCACCAATCGCACCCCGGAGAAAAAGCTCACTCGAGCCGCCTTCAAGTGGCTAGAGGCCCAAGTAGCCAGCGAGTCAATATCCGACCTCCAGTCTACCCACGAACTGACCCGGACGTAGAGTTTGGAGATATCTCGCTTTCCGCCGACGAACTCCGCTTCCTGCAGAGTAATTGCCCCTACCTGAACAGCGACTACCTGCGCTTCCTTTCCGAATTCCGCCTGCAACCCTCAAAGCAGTTGAAACTCGTATTTACTCCCGACCATGACCTAGGCCAGGACAGCGACGTTGGTGCCTTCTTCATACATACCGAAGGCCTCTGGGTGGATACCATTCTCTACGAAATACCCCTGCTCGCCCTGATTAGCGAAGCCTATTTCAAGTTCTGCGATACAGACTGGTCACACGAGGGCCAGGTGAATAAGGCCTACCAGAAAGGGGCGACGCTTCTGCAAGAAGGCTGCATGTTCTCCGAGTTCGGCACCAGGAGACGTCGCGACTATCATACCCAGGATTTGGTCCTACAGGGGTTGCGTCGGGCGCAGGACGAGGCCGACGCGAACGGATGGCCAGGGAGATTGACTGGCACGAGCAACGTCCACTTTGCCATGAAACACCAGCTGACTCCCATTGGTACCGTCGCGCATGAGTGGTTCATGGGAGTAGCTGCCATCACCAATGACTATGAGCATGCCAACGAGATCGCGCTCGACTATTGGACGGCAACGTTCGGGGAGGGTGTCCTGAGTATCGCCCTCACGGATACTTTCGGGACGCCAGCTTTTCTGCAGGCTTTCAAGAAGACAATACCATCGCGCGCGTCGACGGGCATGCCTGTCGAGGGAGGTCCAGCGGAGCAGCAGTCTGCAACGACCTTCGCGCAGGTTTTCTCGGGTGTACGGCAGGATTCCGGAGATCCGCTAGATTTCATCAAAATGATGCGTGAGTTCTATGTTGAGCAAGGCATCAGGGAAAAGAAAACAATTGTGTTTTCAGACTCTTTGAATGTCGACCTTTGCCTCAAGTATAAATCAGCCGCCGAGGCACAAGGATTTCAGCCAACCTTTGGCGTGGGCACCTTCTTCACAAGTACGTTCTTTGTGGATTTTCCAGATACCCTCCCTAATACCATGCAGATGACTTTGTCCAGCAGTCAACTGGCAACAAATCAATTCCGCTCAACATTGTCATCAAACTATCCTCGGCGGGGGGCCGTGCAGCTGTGAAGATTAGCGATAATATGGGGAAAAACACGGGCGACCAGGCGACCGTTGAGGAAGTCAAAAAGCGTCTCGGCTACAAGGAAAAGTTGTGGGCCGGTGGGGATGAAAGCACCCGCTGGGGTACGGAAACTACTCCACCGTAATCAAGGACCTCTCACACAAGTTCGCGCCTACACCGCGCCAATAGCAGCTCGGAAATGGAAGCAACATTCCCCTCTATGTAAGCTAGCCGGACCGCCCTGGGACCAAGAATCGCCTTCGGTTCAGGTCCGAAGTCTTTCTGCTAACTCGGTGGCGTGCTGTCACTTTTCCGCGTGGAAGGAAGCACCTAGGGCTTGAAAAGGGTATGCGGCGTCAAACCATAGTAGCAATAGTAGGTTCCACCAGCTCTCTAGCGAGTCAGGAAGCACTGCTCACTGCAGCTGGTTCACGGATGACAGGCACCCCGCCCCTCCCTCTCAGAGAATGAGCCAGGTGTTGGCGAGAGCTTCGGCAGCAAACCATGGGATCTACGTAGTAGAAAACATTCAGTCGTACAACGAATGACCGTTTGTTAGAGCAGCTTGCGAATGAGTTTGTACCTAGTGGCTCTTTCATGACAGAATCCGAGCTCTATAGATTGCCACCGACTCGAGACAATTTGAAACCCCCAGGGACCCTGCGTTGCCACCATTCATCAGGATCATACCTTTGGGCAACTTTCCGTAGAAAGTCCACATTCTCCTTTCCATAACTTCCTAGGGGATCTTGTTGCCCTTCCGCGTAGTTGAGATACACCAAATCCTGTAGCTTCCCGTCTTTCTTTGCGATTGCCTTCAACTCCGCTGCCATTGCAGTCAGTTCTGCGCGTGCAAGTTCCAGTGCAGCGTCGTCGCCACTCTTGATGCTGACGCCTGCCGTCCACAAAATGCCGTTTGATATCATGCGATCGAGGCCCATGACATTTCCTCCTTTGCTTTTCCCGATTTCTCCAAGGAACTTAGGGAGAGGCTGGAAGAACATCTGCGCTGTGAAGTTATTCGCTCCAACTTTGTCAGAGAGGATTGAGACGAGTTGCTCGTAATAGGAAGCACACTGGCGCAGAATGGACTTGTCGTTCTGAAAAGTAAGAGTTACTCCTACGTTCCTAGCGGTACGGACCGATTGTTAGAGAATGATGAAAAGTCCATTCAAGGACTAAGACACCCTCCGGAACTTACCTGGTCCCTGGTTCAAGTTGGTTTTCGTTCCCGATATCAGCGATGGATTTATGGCGCCAGTCCTGGGAGACAGTTGGGATATTGTTGATCTTGTCAAAGCTGGTAGTGTTGAGATTTCCTTCACTATTCGCTTTTATGATGAGTATTATCGCAGCGGGGCTCGTACTCGCATCGTGCACTATAGCGGCGAACATTGAGTCTGCCCTCCGTGTTTCGGACGCGTCTGTGAACTCCACAATGGCATCGATAACTTCATCCGTATGATCGGTGGTGACGATTCTTTCCCCGAACGCCAGATCTACCACCGGTGTTGGTTCGAGATCGAAGCGCGTGACGATGCCGAAGTTAAGCGCCCCGCCTTTGAGTGCCTTCCACAGGTCGGAATTCTCTTTGGAGTTGGCGTTGACAACCTCGCCGTCTGCAAGAACGACTTCGAAATTAACAACAGTGTCGCAGCCGAAGCCATTGCGCCCAGTGAAGTACGAATTCCCGCCTCCAAGCAAGAATCCTCCAACGCCGACATCGCCATCGCGGCCTCCTGTGACCGTAATCCTGTGCTTGTAGAGTAGATTTCTGTAGACATCTGCCCAGCGGGCTCCGGGCTCGACGCTGGCTAGCTTCGTCTCGGAATCGTAAGACGAGCTATTCATCATGCCAAGGTCAATGGTGACGCCATTGGCGATGTTGTTTGAGCCTGCGGGACCGTGCCCACCGCTTCGGACTGCGATGTGCCAGTCGCCAGCCCCAAAGCCACTTGCGGCCAATGCTTTGACACCCTTAGAGACCTCTTCCGTGTTGAGAGGTTGGAAAAAGCACCATGGCCGTAGTCGCGCGTTAGCCGACCACCAACTCTTGACTCGACCTTCGTACGCCGCCGAGGTCGCAAGAAGAAGGCGGTTCCCCAGTCCTGCGTCAATGAGGGCGTCGCACTAGTTGAGGTTAGAACTGTAAGTTGGGAATTTGTGAGGTGTTTCTGACGGGAGGATATCCAACTTCTTTCGCTGATGTAGATAGAATTGAAGCGAGACCGAGCGAAACGATTAGACTAGCCGAGTTGTGAAACATACTTTCAAAGACTGTGTGTCGGCACGCGAGGCAACAAGAAATGCAGTGAATTTATCAGGCAGAAAGTTGTAGAAAGTTGTAGGGAGACTGATGATGGATAGGATGGCTCGTTGCTGGACGCTGCGTCGAATCGGTTATATAGTCAGAGCCGAATACTATATGCAGCAATGAACCGTGATTAGGAGGCCCAAGCTACACCATGAAGAAAACATGTTTGGGTACTATGCCACAGATGCCGCGTAATAGTGTACCCGTGTTCTAGGTACATGGAATGCTGTTTGGAGAGGGGGAATCCACCAATGCCATCGACATGAACTAGTCCGACTTGATCCCATGAGGCCAACAATACGGTCTCTGTAGAGACATCACTGCGGTTCACAAGTGTGTCCACCTCCAGGGTTAGTCCACTCATGCATTCCCACCAGCATACCTCCGCACCTCCGCACCTCCGCACCTCCGCACCTTGACGCCTTCCTGCCCACCGAAAGCGTCCGTCTCATCCGACCATCCGACGGTTTCCGCCGCCCATTGCATGCGTTGGCGCCACTTGTGCGCCGCGCGCAGGTCCTTGCTCCTACATGGTGTCAATCGCCATCTCTATCCCCTGTAGTCAAAACTAGCCCCAAGTGGAAGATGTGCCAAACAATCAAAGGGGAGCCTCTTGCTCTACAGGGATCTCCACATCAATCAGGATCTGTCCCTAGTTACATGTAAGGTAACGGTGTGTCAGTGTTGCGGGACTACCAACATCAATTGCTTCCCATCCGGCAAGAACCCGTTTCCTCTGTACTGCCAACCATGGGCGGGTTGTCTATTGTCAAACCTCACGTCTTCAATCCTATGCGGCGCACCTGTGGGCATATCAACGGCGTATAGGGATACGGGCGCCAAGGTCTCCGCATTATCGAGAGGCGAAGTGAAACGGAACTGAAGTCCTTCACCTACCATCCCAAACCCCTCCCCTCCGCCCCCGCCAATGGATCGAATCCCATGGGACGGTTTACAGTGACCAGGTTGTGTTAAGCCTTGGTGAAATTACAAATCCCGTTAACTCGTGCCTGAGATCAGCTCACGAGCAACACAACTCCGTCAGCAGAAGAGCCCACATCCCAGGATAGAGACCAGCAGGGGTTCAAAAAAGGCAACCAGAAAACGCGCCTAGACCCTTGCAACGGGAGACGCGAGCCGTCGCGTACCGTGATGTTGGATTTCACATATAGCAAAGTTGAAGTTCTCGCTGGTATTACGGAAGCAGAGGACCTGTTTAGGAAAACGGCAGCCTCCCTTCCCTTCAACCGAGCAAGATGAGCACGCACGCAACCAGAATGATGCGGCATTCTACATCGTACAGCACTGCCTGCCTCCCTCTATATAGGAGGTGGAGGTGTGCATCTGACGATACGGGATGTTGCAGATGAGAGAAATTTAAGCTTTTTATTGCCTAAGCCGTCAGCAACCAACAAACTACATAGCTAGTTTCACCTTAAAAGTTTCTCGACCGACGGGACTTTGCATACGCGGAGATCTGCATACCCGGAAATGAATACGCGGAAATCTGCATACGCGAAAACTGCATACGCGGACAACTGCATACGCGTAAGTGCGTGAGGAAGATCTTGCCATTGTCGAGATCGTGTGGCTCGACCTGGTTGACACAGTAGTTACGCTTGCGAAGGACGCTTCAACGGCTATTCTTAGCTACATACTGCGGTCTCGACAAGAGCAACACAGCTGAAGCCTATTAACACAACGAAAATTGCAACTACCCTCGACTCCTTAGTGCTACAAGTCTTCTCCGCCCTTCTGCACCAACCAACGTCCCATCCCAGAAGGCCTCTAACCCACAACTCCCATCAAGCCGTCCACCTCTACGAAACCACAAGTCGCACCTTCGAACCAACCCGTCTGTCCTCCGTGTTCTCCGTACGTTCATGGCTTGGGCAACTGACTCCTCTCCTTCACTCGGCGACCTTCGAGCCCGTCTTGTAGGAAATCTTCGCTGCATACACGTACGAAGACATTGTCCCTCACTTGCGAACCGATTCCTCGCCAAAGGAGGATTCGAAAGCAGCACCATTTAGGAAATCTGGGAGAAGCGTGAAAGTGGTAAGCATAGAAGGAGACGGGAGGAAGCTACTGGTGGGAGACGGAAGGGGGAAAACACGCGGCAGAGTGAGGAGAAAGCAGAATATGTACAGATGTTGGACCCTTGATGGTCTTCGCGTGTAGACATGGGTGGCATAGGAGCTGCTTTGAGAAGGCCGTGGCTGACGATGCGGATAGGAGGTGGCCTAAATGTCCGCTTTGTATATGGTGCGTTGGTTTTAATATGCGAAGATTTAGCATTGACCCGTTTACTTCAGTCAGTATCCGAAAATCACTATTGCTAGAGCGAAGTAGCGGCATCTAACTGATCAGAAGAAACCTTACGCTGCTCATTCGAGGAACTTTTCGATAGGATACTATATGATTTCCAATCTTTCTAGTTCCTTGAACACCATTTGGCCCGGCTTGTCATGTATGCTTTCAATCCACATTACCTGCATCAGGTAATTCTTCACAGCCACCCAATCAAGTCCCGGACTGACGATCTCCCACGCGCCCCTTACCCAATCGTGTGCATTAGCGGCCGTGAGTGCAGCGATGATTAGCACCCACAATCCTAGCCTCCTGTCCTGCTCTACTATGCCGGGAGTCACCTTCACATACGTTCTACCAAGTTGATCAACCACCCAGCCGTACGGAATCCTCCGTCCCGGGACCTTGAACGTAGTCGCTAGGAATGCAAGCATAGTGAGGCGAACTAGCTCTTCAATGGGGCTCTGGAGTGAGCCATCAAGGGCTAGGAGCAGCGACTGGAGGGATGTGAGAAGTCTCTGAAAGGATCCGGCATGATAGCGAGCGTGCACGCAGACACTGTGGTTGATCCTCAAGGACAGGTACTGGAAGTCTAGGAAAACATTTACAAGTCTAGAGTCCCAGTCCGGGGATGGCCGGAAGCGTCCTGGGGGTAGAAGTGAATATGGGGGAGGAATGAGCGGCTCCCAGGACACAGTGGGGTGAAGGAAGAACGGCATTTGGCCTGAGCTCAGAGACCATGCGAGGTCCAGGCTTCGATGGGTAAGTTGACTGACGGTGAATTGCATGGGCTCACTCACCGATCGAGCTTGAAATGCAATTTGGGCCTCGCTCTCAAAAATGCCAAGTCCCCTCTTAACTGCACTATTTTACGCAACCCCTTGAGATGCGCGGCCGCAGCCTCCCAATCACCAAACACCGCAGCCAACAGGGCGAGATTGATAACAATATGTAGTACCGACTCATCTCGATATGCGTCCTCTTGGCGCATTTTTGCCCGTAATAGCGACAGGGTTTCCCGCAGGTGGAACACGGTCTTGCGACCTGGCTTGCCATTCCACTGAGTGACCATGAGTTCATTGATAGCGTAGCTGGCGCACAGAATTGAGTGCAGGAACGTAGCATCGGAGAAAAGCCATTCGAAAAATGCGGAGTCGACGCAGTCGAAGTTGACACAGCGATCAAGAGGAGATAAAGCCTGGTTGGCGACGTTGTATGCGAAGGCTTTGAAGAGGAGCCCCTTGGCCTCCGAGTCGATGTCGGGAGCAGCAAAGCGGACGAACGACAGATGGCTTATTGACGACACCGGTAACGAAACTACAGGTGTGGTAGGGTCCTTAGTTTTCGCTGCTGCAACGTTGCCCCCTTTCGCGAGTCGCTTCTCCTCTCGCTGGGTCCTGCGGGATCCTTCACGCTTGTTTTTACCCTGCATGCAGCGGCTTCGGATCCGCAGGCTCTTTCCAGGTTTGAGGTTCGACACTGGGTCAAGTACGACAAATTCGAAGGCGGTGGCCATACTGAGGATCCCATGGATAGGAAGGGCTTCGGTTCAAGCTACGGTCCAATTCGGAGCATGATTTTGAATATATGTGCTCCCTAAGCGTTTAGGATTCGATCAGGCGGATTTGGTTTGGATATTGAACGACGTCGATTGGGTGCCCGGCACCGTCGACGTACCCTGAAATCCTTGGGAGATTCATGGATGGATGGGAGCGTGGTTGAGGATTGAAGTGATGCGACGCTCAGCCTCCTCCCTCTGCACGGACCGCCTTGGAGAGAACGACCAGATTGTTGTCTGTTTAAGGAAGGCGCTAGGCCGTTTTCGCAGCGATGCTGGCATGTAGACAACAAGTAGTCGACCACAGCATCATAATGCCAAGTAGACAGAGAGGCTGTTATCGGCGTTAAGGCGTTCGGACCAAAATGGAACTTGTCAGCGAATTGTACAAAACGGCTGCGTCGTCTGCTTGCAGTCGAGCCCACGGCAAGTCCAGCGAACAAAGATCATCGAAGAACGCGGCTCCATCGATATCGGAGCAAGAATACCGTCAGTCAACACATCTCAACTTGGAGGGGCACCATGGCGTCCATGTCACTCCCACCGTACCCATACTCTATGCCTAAAGTCATCTTAAGAAGCGCGAGAACCTCCAACAAACAAGTCAACCCCTCTCTATCGGGGAAAACGCTTCTCATCACCGGCAGCAACAGTGGAATTGGTCTAGCTTGCGCACAAATCGTGCCCACACTCGGGCTCTCACGCCTCATCATGGCCGTTCGAAGTGTCGAAAAAGGGGAAGTGGCCGCGGCGCCCATTCGCAAGGAACACCCAAACTGCACAATCGAAGTTTGGGGTCTCGACATGCTATCCTACCCATCAATCCAAGCGTTTTCGGAGAGATGCAAAACGCTTCCAAAGCTGGACATGGCGATTTTAAACGCCGGTGTTGGAAGCGGATCCATATTCCACCTGAACCCCTCAACAGGGCACGAGGAAACGTTCCAAGTGAACTACCTCTCCACCGCCCTCTTATCACTGTTGCTGCTTCCCATCCTTGCCGCAAGGTCACCCGCCTCCGCACCAGGCCGGCTCACCATCGTCGGTTCTGGCACAGCCTTATTCGCGAAATTCGAGAACCGGAACGCAGTCCCGCTAATACCGTCCTTTGACACCCCAATTTCCGGCTTCGCCGCGGCAGGAGAGCGGTACGGGACGACTAAGATACTCGTCATGATGTTCATGCACAAGCTTTCTGAGTTCGTACGGGCGGACCAGGTGGTTATCAATGCCGTCGGGCCAGGCCTCACATCAGGGACGTCACTACATCGAGAGTTTACCGGACCAGGAAAGTATATAATGGCAGGAATGAAGAAGGTTGCTTCAAGGACACCCGAACAGGCGGCTTGGACGTATGTCGATGCTGTAGCGGTCCATGGGAAGGAGAGTCATGGCGGGTTCATCATGTTTTGGGAAGTTTGTCCGTAAGTCTTGCTGAATATTGTGTTATTGGTTGATGCAATTCTAACGAGGCGTTTAGATTTCCGAGCGTGATGTACACAAACGATGGAAAGCGGGCTATGGAGAGGCTGTGGAAGGAAACAATGGCTGAACTGGAATTCGCTGGAGTGGAAGGCATACTCGACTCGATGAAGAAGATCTAGTTAGTGCGAGGTAGTCATAGAAGTGCAGCTTTGTTGCTAATCGTTACATAATGTATCTCCTTAGACCTGCTGTTCCTAGCTAACACCTCGCGTATTCTTCGCTATATAGTGTACATTTAAAAGCATTTTCAACGAAGTTTCTAATAACTTAACGTCTTTTTAATAATGCAATAGATTTTAGAGAGGTATGCAGTCGAACAGTTAGTTAGACAATAAGACCTTGCATACAGAAAGATATCCGCAGATATACTCTCTGCTAGACAACTAATCTAGGATAGTTTTATAACATTAAGAGTCTTAATAGAGCAGTTTATTCTAGCAGCTTTAAAATTTTTCTTCTAAAAAAATACCAATATTGGAACATTTTTTCCGCTTGGAATTTCATCTCCAAACTTGTACTACATCTTTTTGATATCCCAAAGATCCAATATCTCCAGCTGCAACCCGCTGCAGCATCTGGTTCAAGAGTTATTCAAGGAGAAAGCTACAATTCACCCCTCTTTGGTGCCGGATCAGAGTTTTCAGGAGCGGGCACGGTCCCAGGGCCCAGCTGACCTGACCTGTGTGTGTATCTGAGCACGGCACCGTGTATCTGAGCACGGGTGCACAGACAGGAACACCAAACTCTGCAGACCGCACCAGCCACTGTAGACCGTACCAGCCACTGCAGACCGCACCAGCCACTGCAGACTGCACCAGCCACTGCAGACCGCACCAGCCACTGTAGACCGTACCAGCCACTGCAGACCACACCAGCCACTGCAGACCGCATCAGCCACTGCAGACCACACCAGCCACACCAACTGCACAGCCACACTGCTGCACCACCGTATCCTCAACCACCACCAACCAACAACACCACCACCCAGATATCCTATCCCAAGGATATCTGCTGCACCTGCCCCTATACTAGGATAGTTAGGACCTTGTCTAGGTACCCTACTATCTTAGGATAAAGGCTATTATCATTGTTTTCTTTTAAACAATAGGTATTCTAGCCTAAGATCTTGTCCAGTGGATAGTCCCTGTCTGCCCTGCCTAGGCAACTAGGAACAACAGGGTTTCCTT